CTCTGTAGTTGTTAAGTGATAAAAATACTAAATAAATACTTATACACAATCTAAGCACTTGATATATGTGACTCGAGCTGGGCAGAAGCTTGGGGTGGGGGAGATTTCGGCATCTATATAAATGGCGCTATGGATTCAGTCAGGCATTCAGTTATGGCGCATTTATTGAAGTTGTTGGTGACGTTGCTCTGCTTGGCTCTCAGCTGGGAGCCGGGTCAGTCGGCTGCCATAGAGCAGGAGCGAGCGGGCAGCAGCGAGGCGACTCGGGACTGGTGGCAGGTGGCGCAGTTCTATCAGATCTATCCGCGCTCCTTCAAGGACTCCAATGGCGATGGCATTGGCGATCTGCAGGGCATCATCTCCAAGCTGGACTATCTCAAGGAACTGGGCGTGACGGCCACCTGGCTGTCGCCCATCTTCACCTCGCCCATGGCCGACTTTGGCTACGACATCGCCGATTTCTTTGACATCCAGGAGGAGTACGGCACGCTGGACGATTTCGATCAGCTCATTGCCGCTGCCAATGAGCGCGGTCTGAAGATCATACTCGACTTTGTGCCGAACCATTCCAGTGACGAGAACGTCTGGTTCCAGAAGTCGGTGCGCCGCGAGAAGGGCTACGAGGACTACTACGTGTGGCACGATGGCTATGTAAATTCCAGCACGGGCCAGCGGATGCCGCCCTCCAATTGGCTGCAGGCCTTCCGGGGTAGCGCCTGGGAGTGGAACGCGCAGCGTGGCCAGTACTATCTGCATCAGTTTGCCGTTAAGCAGCCCGATCTCAACTATCGCAATCCGGCGGTTGTCGCCCAAATGAAGCGCGTCCTCACCTACTGGCTGGATCGGGGCGTTGCCGGCTTTCGCATCGATGCCGTGCCCTGGTGCTTTGAGGTGGTGCCCGACGCGGACGGTCGCTATCCCGACGAGCCGCTGAGCGGCTACACGACAGATCCAGACGACGCGGCGTATCTGAAGCACATCTACACCCAGGATCTGATTGAGACCGTGGACATGGTGTACCAGTGGCGCCAGCTGCTCGACGACTACCAGCGCATTCATGGCGGCGATACGCGCGTCCTCATGGTGGAGACCTATTCGAGCCTGGACTATGTCATGAAGTTCTACGGCAATCGCACAACCAAAGGCGCCCAGATACCCTTCAATTTCCAGTTCATTGTCGGCGGCGAAGGCAACAAGAACAATACGGAGTTGAGTGCGAATGGATTCGTGAAGATCATCAACAGTTGGCTGGGACAGATGCCAGCCGGACAAACGGCCAATTGGGTGGTGAGTCTCAAAGGGAAGTGGGATTCACAATATGTTAAAGTGTGTGTGGGAGATTGCTCGACTAGAAAATACACAGAGATCTGCAAGGAGCGACAATAGCACTCTTTGTAGGCTTCTTTTATGCGGTCTCTATCTCTCTCTCTCTCACACACACACACACACACACGCTTGCATAAATGCGCGCTCTACTTATTGCGCAGTTTACGCGACGAAGGTCAAAGATTTCACTCAAGGCTCACACACATACACACGTTTGACGTAGAGAAGAGCGGAAATTTCAATTACTGCAGGCTTCTTTTATGCATAAAAAGCTTACACACACACACACACACACTCATACATAGACCAACCATCCCACTGACTTAGGCGCGCTCTTCTCCTTGTCTTTTTCGCTCTGCGCGTTCTGCTAGCTGCGCATTTGACACGGCGAAGAGGTGAAATTTCACTCATTGAAAGCTTCCTTCAGAAAGCACACACACATAACATAACACACACACACGCGCTTGCATAAATGCGTGCTCTGCTTATTGCGCACCTTACGCGGCGAAGAGCTGAGATTTCACTCGCAAGCTCCTTTTATACATACAGAACTCACACACACATACTTACGTTTGACGTAGTTTACGCAGCGAAGAGCTGAGGTTTCACTCATTGCTGACTTCCTTCATGTATGCATAGCTCAAACACACACACACACACATACATGCACAACCGCTGACGTATTGGCCTTACTTCGTTACCTACTTCCATTTATACTGATCTCTACTGATCAAAAGAGCTTTAGGATAGACTCTCTTCGCCGTACTGATTCATATTATATTGTATTAGCTATATTATATTAGCTATCAGTACACTAACATTTCTAGCCTTCAATAGGCTCTGATTAGATCAGTATTAACTTAAAGTTCTTCGCAGATGGGCAATCATGATCAGCGTCGCGTGGGCAGTCGGTATGGAGAGGGTCGCATCGACATTATGAATATGCTGCAAATGTTCTTGCCCGGCGTGAGCATTACGTACCAGGGCGAGGAGCTGGGCATGACAGACGGCTATATTAGCTGGGCGGATACACGCGATCCGGCCGCCTGCAACTCGAACGAGACCATTTACCAGCAGTTCACTCGCGATCCGGCCAGAACACCAATGCAGTGGAGCAGCGAGGCGAACGCCGGCTTCTCCACCAACAGCTCCACCTGGCTGCCCATCAATCCCAACTATGTGGCGGTCAATGTGGCGGCAGAGTCGGCCGCCGACACCAGCCACCTCAAGCTGTACAAGCAGCTGGTGGAGCTGCGCAAGTCCAAGACGCTGCAGTACGGCAGCACACGCTACGCGGCCATCAATGAGAACGTGCTGGCCATCAAGAGGGCGCTGAGTGGTCAGCCCACCTACGTGCTGGTGGCCAATGTGCTGGACAGCCAAGTGTGCGGAGTGAATGTGGCCAGCGAGCTGTACGCCTCCGGCAGCTACAAGATCAAGCTGCTCAATCCGCAGGCGAAGGCGACCGTGGGGTAAGCATTAGCCAATCAAATGCTTTTCTATTTTATTTAAATAATTAATTTATTTTATTTTCTTTTTCGCAGCAACAGCGTCGCGTTGAACAACCTCAGTTTGCCGCCATATGCGGCGCTGATTGTGGAATCTGTGTAGATGGCCTTGAAATTACATGTCTTGTCATAAGTCATCAAGCACAGATATATAGATATGTATATATGTGTATAATAAATATGTATGTGCGTCATTGGAAAAACTTTTCAATTTGAGGTCGCAGGATCTGGCAACTTATTATAAATTATTAGGGAACTTTGTCTGCCTCAAGTATGTGCCAGCCCCCGTCCACGTAGCCGGCCCTGCTCCTGCGCCTGCTCCAACTCCAGCTCAACAAAATTGTATAAAAAAACAAGAAGAAATTCCATTAGGCGTGATTGATAAGACACACAAATCACGCATACGCAGCGTTGCAGCAGCAGACATCCGAGCAGCTCGAGCTGCGGCTGATGCTTGGCTTGACTTTTGCTACCTGGCCCTCGTTCTGCCCAAAGCTAGACACGACTAGCATGGCAAGCATGGCGTCGACTGGGGTTAGCTTTTTAATTTACTTGTGGACCAAAAAAAAAAAGAAAAATTATATATATATAAAATGAGAACGAGAGTGAAGTGAAATTATGAGTTTTCACCTCGGGGCGATTCGCCTCATAATGTGCTTCAAATTTATGTGTATTTTCTCTCTCAACCGCAAAACATCAAAAACACACGCCCTCAACAGTTACTCGAAGCTCTAAGCCACAAATTAAACACGAACCGAGCAGAGACCAGTTGAAATTCGAACTTTTTGCTACAATGTTTTTTTTTTATTTTATTTTTTTAGAAAATGTCTGCATTGAGATTAAAAACTGTTGTGTGAAAATATATCTAATTAAACAAGTTGCATGAGAACTAAAAAGTTTAATTTAAATTATGCTAAACAACTAGAGAAATTTTAGAACATTTTTTATATGTAGCAAAACTCTGTTGAAAAATTTGCTTTGACAGATTTTCATGAATACTGCGACATTGAGCAAAAAAATAAAAATAAAAATAAAAATAAAAATAAAAAAAAATTAAACAAAAATTAAAACAAAATAAAATTAAAAACAATAATATTAATAAATAAAATTATAAATTAAAAATTAA